TTCAGTCTTTAGATAGGGTTAGATCACCGCGATTCAGCACTCTCACGAATACCAGCTGGTTTAAATAATCGTTTTGATACGTTTTAATTCACATCACTCGAGATGAAGATCTAGAGGACCAAAATTACTTCCCTTGAATTATGAGCAGCGAAGTTTGGAATAGAGAGCAGCCAGTAATTATGGTGCAGAACACAATCATACCACTAGTTATTACGACAATTCTGTTCGTCATACCCCAAAGAGTTACTGAATAATGAAGTGACATTCTGCAACTCTTTTTTAAAATTGTGATCGCATAGTCTGATTATCCGGGTGACAGTAGTCCTGAGAAGGACTGTGGTCCATATTAGTGCCTGCCGTTTCGACAAAATGAGCCGAAGTCATCAACAGAGTCAAGAGAAGAGTTGTTGTCAGTCGAGTGTATTTAAAAGTCCGGTTCTTGGGAACAGATTGGTCAGTTTATATTTAACTGTTTTTGGGTCCAAGGGTCAGTCTATGAAAAGATTGACTGAAAACAAGCAAGCGATGAGAAAAGGTGATGTCAACAGTCGCACTGCTGAACTTCATCGACTTACGAACCACATTATTGAATGGGACTCTCTGCAGTGCCTAACAAACACCGGTACCACTAACTATTTTCAACGACTGACTCTGGAAAACTGGTTGAATAACTTAGAGCAGAATCAGGCTAAAACTGGGGAATATTTACCCCGCCGAGCCTCCGCTGGCCAACGACAATGAGTTGAATAATTATTTTAGTATATAATAGAACAGTATAAAAGTAGAAAAATAATGTCAAGTACAAGTAACAAATATTAAAAATGGAAAAAAATTTCGCGACATTTTGATTTGGGGTTTAACTTTTCCTTTCCCCTTGAATCCAAGGGTTTGAATAACTTTCTAGAGTTCCTCCAGCCCCCTCTCGTATTTCGATGAGAGTGGCCAAACACAGTAAAAGGTTCTCTATTTCTTACATAATCGGGCGCGAAATAACTCGGAGGTGAATAGCAAAGGATAATCGGAGTTTTAGCAGTCAATCAGAGAGCGCCTTCATGGCTAAACACTGTTTTAGTATACACTAACATTTGCTTTTAAACCTACGTTCCTGCGTCTTGAGGCTCTTTCATGCACAAGGGCATTTAACGGGGCCAAGTGAAAACAACTGCCTTAGGCTTAATTATTAATTGTTCTTGGAGCATTAAAGGTAGCCTCCTCTCTCCCCTACGATTGCTGAAAATAAGAGCGTAAATTAAATTAGTATCTACCTCACAGGTAAATAATGCTTTTCGCGCGCGCTGATGGCTGATTCGGAAGAAATTGGCAATTACTTTTTAGATCAACTTAATTTCAATTAACTGAATACCAATGTTAAGATTTTACATTTAATAATTAGCAATTATGCCTCAAGACTTTTTTCAAATCGCACAGCCCTCAACAGTCAAGAAACAAAAAAGAACTGCGGACATGGTGTTCATCGATTACAGAAGTATCATCTGGGATCAACGTGCTCGGCTCACAAAAGAAATGGATCCGGTCAAGGTAGTGACTTATTTGGTTAATTGTAAATCGATAACGTCGTCAGATAAAGAACTCATTGAACGAATCCATCCACCATCAAAAAGAACGAGTAAATTGTTGAAAATGATAGCCGTGAAAGGACCAGAGGCGTATGAAAATTTTGTGAAAGCATTGGAGGAAGATGAGTGCTTTGGGGTCGCCTACTATCTCGTGCGAAATGGTAGGTTGGTATAAATTTTTAAATACTTAATTCTTAAACTTGTCAGATCAAATCCACACATCGCCCAGAAAAATTCCTTCCAAGTATCAATCGCAAACAGGTGACACAGTTTTTATTTTAAACTGAGTCAAACTTTTGCGTCACCATTTGGCAAGGCTATGTCTCAAAGATGTAACGGACGCATATTGATACGGGGAACCATTATGGAAAAACTCATTCAGCAGTGCGCCTCAACCAAATGTCTGAGAACATAAAATAAAAAATATTTGCTTCTCTGGTATGTCGACTTAGAATGTCCGCGGCTGAGATATCGTCCGAAAAATAAATACTTGACCGAGAAGCGAGGCCTTGAGGAAAATGTAAAATGTTGAGGCAAATGTCTCAGCCAAGGACATTATCAGCCGACATGCCAGCAAGCCAGAAGGGGTTTGTTTATTTCATAATCCCCCCGAAAATATTTTTGTCGCGCTTGGAAAGCCAATTTTGTTGAATCTTTTGTACCCTCCGGGTGGGTTGTTACCAGCAAAGCATGATCCTTGCAAAAGAGAAAAAGAAGCTTACGTCTCCTCAGAGGGGCATAAACTCTGCCTTAAAATTTGTGTGCTCTGCCGGGTCCTTTAGTTAAAAATGTTTATCGATGTTATTCGATGTTTATCGATGTAGGAATGATATTGCTTTTTTTCTTTCGCTACCATACAGCTTACATAATTCTTTCGCTACCATACAGCGGATCATTTTAAAGTCTACCCGAAGATTCTGGTAGATGGCTCCGCGATCGTTTTTGTGTAATCTGTTAAAACACAGTGTTTACTTTACAAAACAAACTGTGAAAACATATTTCCGAATGCGTCGCTCTCTGAAAGTATCTAAAAGTTTCTATTTTGCGGTAAGAGAATAATTAAAAAATTCGTTGGCTCTGGTATTATCTCCTCAGAAATGGAAGAATGGAAGAAAGGAGTGACTTGTTTAAGTGATGATTTAGGAAAGGAGCAACAAGAGCATAAAAAAACTCGGCAGAAACTTGAAGGTAATGAAAAATAAATGTAAAGGTGGGGAGACGTACATCAACAGCTAAGTGACAATATAACGTTTTACATTTGATCTGATGTAACGTAAGTTGACACCCCTTGCTCGGCACTCACAAGCAAAGCTTACAGTGTAGGGGTATCTTTACCTCCGTTATTATTCATATCTTTCTTCTCTAGTAATCACAAGTCGATTCAAGGCAAGACGTTCATAAAAAATTAAAGTGTCTCAGAGTTTGAAGTATGCGAAGTTTGGATCTTCTTTGCGAGTAAAATTCACTGAAATATTCGCCACTGCAAACGGCCAACTTTNTTTCTTTTGGTTGCCAAGAAACGTTTAACTCTTAAGATTTTCATGATACACATGATGGACTGCCGGAAAACTTTAACTCGAAACACGGCCATGTAGAACTTCTCAGTCAAAAGGGATAATTGTCTGTTTCGTAGTAAAGCTGGCCTTGCTGCCACGAGTAATTCAGCTGTCTATAAAGATCCAGAAAGGAATTTTAAAAATTTTTACGTCTCGTCCGGTTGTTTCGTAATCACCAATATCGTAATTAAACCCTTGATATGTAAAACAAGCCTCTGACACAGCGCTTTATTAGTAAACATCAAAGATGACTAATGCATTAGACATCTTTCTGTCAGTTTCCGATTGTGTCTATTATTTCTCTGTACGGAAGAGTAGTTCAACTTCGATCTCAATACACAGAAGATAGAGAATTAACCGTTAAATTAAAGTAATAAATAAATTTAAAAAAAAAATTCACTAGGCCTGACATCAGAATCTGCGGAGCAATTATACTCTTAATTCAGTCATTAAATAGGGTTAGATCACCGCGATTCAGCACTCTCACGAACACCAGCTGGTTTAAATAATCGTTTTGATACGTTTTAATTCATATCACTCGAGATGAAGATTTAGAGGACCAAAATTACTAACCTTGAATTATGAGGCAGCGAAGTTTGGAACAGAGAGCAGCCAGTAATTATGGTGCAGAACACAATCATACCACTAGTTATTACGACAATTCTGTTCGTCATACCCCAAAGAGTTACTGAATAATGAAGTGACATTCTGCAACTCTTTTTTAAAATTGTGATCGCGTTGTCTGATTACTCGGGTGAGAGTAGTCCTGAGAAGGACTGTGGTCCTTATTGGTGCTTGCCGTTTCGATAAAATGAGCGGAAGTCATCAACAGAGTCAAGAGAAGAGTCGTTGTCAGTCGAGTGTATTTAAAAGTCCGGTTCTTGAGAACAGATTGGTCAGTTTATTTGTAACTGTTTTTGGGTACAAGGGTCAGTCTATGAAAAGATTGACTGAAAGCAAGCAAGCGATGAGAAAAGGTGATGTCAACAGTCGCACTGCTGAACTTCATCGACTTACGAACCACTTTATTGAATGGGACTCTCTGCAGTGCCTAACAAACACCGGTACCACTAACTATTTTCAACGACTGAGTCTGGAAAACTGGTTGAATAACTTAGAGCAGTATCAGGCTAAAACTGGAGAATATTTACCCCGCCGAGCCACCGCCGGCCACCGACAATGAGTTGAATAACTATTTTAGTATATAATAGAACAGTGTAAAAGTAGAAAAATAATGTCAAGTACAAGTAAAAAATATTAAAAATAGAAAAAAAATTCGCGACATTTTGATTTGGGGTTTAACTTTTCCTTTCCCCTTGAATCCAAGGGTTTGAATAACTTTCTAGAGTTCCTCCAGCCCCCTCTCGTATTTCGATGAGAGTGGCCAAACACAGTAAAAGGTTCTCTATTTCTTACATAATCGGGCGCGAAATAACTCGGAGGTGAATAGCAAAGGATAATCGGAGTTTTAGCAGTCAATCAGAGAGCGCCTTCATGGCTAAACACTGTTTTAGTATACACTAACATTTGCTTTTAAACCTACGTTCCTGCGTCTTGAGGCTCTTTCATGCACAAGGGCATTTAACGGGGCCAAGTGAAAACAACTGCCTTAGGCTTAATTATTAATTGTTCTTGGAGCATTAAAGGTAGCCTCCTCTCTCCCCTACGATTGCTGAAAATAAGAGCGTAAATTAAATTAGTATCTACCTCACAGGTAAATAATGCTTTTCGCGCGCGCTGATGGCTGATTCGGAAGAAATTGGCAATTACTTTTTAGATCAACTTAATTTCAATTAACTGAATACCAATGTTAAGATTTTACATTTAATAATTAGCAATTATGCCTCAAGACTTTTTTCAAATCGCACAGCCCTCAACAGTCAAGAAACAAAAAAGAACTGCGGACATGGTGTTCATCGATTACAGAAGTATCATCTGGGATCAACGTGCTCGGCTCACAAAAGAAATGGATCCGGTCAAGGTAGTGACTTATTTGGTTAATTGTAAATCGATAACGTCGTCAGATAAAGAACTCATTGAACGAATCCATCCACCATCAAAAAGAACGAGTAAATTGTTGAAAATGATAGCCGTGAAAGGACCAGAGGCGTATGAAAATTTTGTGAAAGCATTGGAGGAAGATGAGTGCTTTGGGGTCGCCTACTATCTCGTGCGAAATGGTAGGTTGGTATAAATTTTTAAATACTTAATTCTTAAACTTGTCAGATCAAATCCACACATCGCCCAGAAAAATTCCTTCCAAGTATCAATCGCAAACAGGTGACACAGTTTTTATTTTAAACTGAGTCAAACTTTTGCGTCACCATTTGGCAAGGCTATGTCTCAAAGATGTAACGGACGCATATTGATACGGGGAACCATTATGGAAAAACTCATTCAGCAGTGCGCCTCAACCAAATGTCTGAGAACATAAAATAAAAAATATTTGCTTCTCTGGTATGTCGACTTAGAATGTCCGCGGCTGAGATATCGTCCGAAAAATAAATACTTGACCGAGAAGCGAGGCCTTGAGGAAAATGTAAAATGTTGAGGCAAATGTCTCAGCCAAGGACATTATCAGCCGACATGCCAGCAAGCCAGAAGGGGTTTGTTTATTTCGTAACCCTCCCATAAATGTTTTTGTCGCGCTTCGAAAGCGAATTTTGTTGAATCTTTTGTACCCTCCGGGTGGGTTGTTACCAGCAAAGCATGATCCTTGCAAAAGAGAAAAAGAAGCTTACGTCTCCTCAGAGGGGCTTAAACTCTGCCTTAAAATTTGTGTGCTCTGCCGGGTCCTTTAGTTAAAAATGTTTATCGATGTTATTCGATGTTTATCGATGTAGGAATGATATTGCTTTTTTTCTTTCGCTACCATACAGCTTACATAATTCTTTCGCTACCATACAGCGGATCATTTTAAAGTCTACCCGAAGATTCTGGTAGATGGCTCCGCGATCGTTTTTGTGTAATCTGTTAAAACACAGTGTTTACTTTACAAAACAAACTGTGAAAACATATTTCCGAATGCGTCGCTCTCTGAAAGTATCTAAAAGTTTCTATTTTGCGGTAAGACATGAATTAAAAAATTCGTTGACTCTGGTATTATCTCCTCAGAAATGGAAGAATGGAAGAAAGGAGTGACTTTTTTAAGTGATGATTTAGAAAAGGAGCAACAAGAGCATAAAAAAACTCGGCAGAAACTTGAACGTAATGAAAATAAATGTAAAGGTGGGGACGCGTACATCAACAGCTAAGTGACAATATAACGTTTTACATTTGATCTGATGTAACGTAAGTTGACACACCTTGCTCGGTACTCTCAAGCAAAGCTTACAGTGTAGGGGTATCTTTACCTCCGTTATTATTCATATCTTTCTTCTCTAGTAATCACAAGTCGATTCAAGGCAAGACGTTTATAAAAAATTAAAGTGTCTCAGAGTTTGAAGTATGCGAAGTTTGGATCTTCTTTGCGAGTAAAATTCACTGAAATATTCGCCACTGCAAACGGCCAACTTTATGGATAACGCTAATGAGCCCGCCCATTATTTATAAAATGTCTAATTCTAACACTGTGTGGCTGAGAGAG